GAACAGCAGGGAGTGGGGAGGCTGAGCAGGGTGGGGAGGGATAACCTGGGGAGAAATGCCAGATATAGAAAAAGGGGGAATGGAGACAGCAAACCACCTGGTTATGTACGCACCTATGCAACAAACCTGCATGATCTGCACATGTACCCCAGAACCTAAAGTACAATAAAAAATAAAAATTAAAAAAGGTGGGTACTTCAGGAATTGATGAAGTCACGAGGTTTCTGTCCTCCCGAATGGGATTTGTGACCGTATAAAATAGGCCTGAAGGAGCTTGTGTCTCTTTCCACCATGTGAGGACACAGAAAGAAGGTGCCAAAGGTGAGGCAGTGAGCCCTCATTAGACACTGAATCTGCTGGTGCATTGATCTTAGACTTCCCAGCCTCCAGAACAATGAGCAATAGACTTCTGTTGTTTATAAATTAGCCAGTCTATTATTTTGTTACAGCAACCTGAACTAAGACATGTGGATTAAAAAGAGTAACATAGTCATCTCATAGGGTGATTATGAAGATTAAATAAGTAATCATGAATAGCACTTAGAACAGTGCCTGGCATAGAGGTAGTTTTATTAAAAAGTTATTCATTAAAAAATTATATTGTAGGAAAACATTTTTCGTCTAATTCAAAGGTTACTTATGAAACAAGGTAAAACAAACCAGTAAAAAAAAAAAAAAGAGAGAGAGAGATGTAAAAAAAGTAAAAAATATAAAAAGATATTTTTGGTAAGAAAGACTGAAAGCAAAATAATATTATATGGGAAAGAATTCTGTATGGTAAATTTTTGTCATAAACTAAAATGACTGATTATTTAAGAAAAAGGGATGTTTAGGATAAAACAGGAAGTGCCAGCATATCATAAATGTTTTAAGTTGTAATGAAGTTCATAAAGAGAAGTTATTTTTTAAAACTATGTAATTAAGTTGGCTATAAATAAGAGGAAATGATAATAGTCTTTCTAGAGATTGGGCCTTGATATTAAAAATACACTAATAGACAAAAGATGGTTAGAACAACAACATTTTTGCAAAGTACTGATTTACACTTAAAAAATTATAAGATATTTTAATTTTGAACCCAAACATTCAACATTTAGTGCATCTTACTGTTTTCAGCTTTCTCACCCCTTTAAGACCTGAGATAATAACTCTCTGCTTCAACTTTTGTGTCAGCCTTGTTCCTTTTTTTTCTTAGGTACTAACTGCTGTTTCTGGTCTGATGCTAAAATTATGTTACCTTTAGGAGCTAAAGGAAATGTGTTCTTCCAATATAACACTCTGTGCTCTTGACTTTTTAAAATATGTCCAAATTGTTCTGTGAAACCAAAAAACTTATGAACCAGGTCACACTCTTCCTATGTCTAATTAATTCAAGTACCCTTTTATTAGTTTTCACTTGCAGGTTATCTAAATGGACCCCCCTTAAGGAAGTGCAATCACACAAGCTTTGTTGTCTTTTGGTAACTGGCCTGAGAAAAACATTACATTTTATCAAAATAATTCTTATGTTGTGGGTAACCTCCCATATAGGTACTGAGGAAGAGAGCTAAGCAGAATCCCGGCACAATTAGCGCCTGAAGAATATCTCAGTTTATAGTGTTACTACTCAGTTATTTCCTTTTATATAATCCTTTATATATAATCATATATTAGTTTATAGAATTAGGGCCTGAAGAACATCTCCATTTATAGTGTTACTACTCAGTTATTTCCTTTTATATAATCCTTTCTATATAATCATATATTAGTTTATAGAATTAGGGCTTGAAGAATATCTCAGTTTATAGTGTTACTACTCAGTTATTTCCCTTTATATAATCCTCTCTATATACAATCATATATTAGTTCATAGAATGAATGCCTAAAGAATATCTTACCACTCAGTTATTTCCATATATATATATATATATATATATAAAACTATATCTTAGTTCATAATCAGAGGAATAGACACGGTACAGAGCATGAATTAAGGAATAAGCAGCTTATAATCAAAGGAATGTCTGGAGCAGACACAGTGCAGAGCATGATTTAAGGGAAAAACAGTTATACCAGGACAAGAATCCATGGCCCAGGCGGCAGCATTCAGTATTGTAAAGATACCTGCTGTATGGCAGGCTTGGGGCAAGAGCCACTCCTCCTGATAAAGGAGTTGCAGGACCTTGCTTCAGTTCTTGTGGAAGGCTGCCCTCAGACCAGCAATCCCTCGAGCATCTGAGGGCTCAAACCCCTCTGGATAATCGCACCTTGGTGACTGTGAACTTTGTTAGCTCTTGCTACTGTGCCAGCTCGAAAAGCATCCTCCTATAGAACTCATTGGAAGCTGCCAGCAGGTAGCGGGAGACCCTGTCAGCTCTGTCACTGCTGTGTTACTTAAGCATCCTCCTATAGATCTTCTTGGGAGTAGCATGCCTATAGATAGAGGTATTGCACACTGCACCCTCTTCGCTGCACATGGCCCACCTCCATGCCTCGGTGACCTAATGGGGGTGGACCCCTTACTGCACATGGCTCACCTCCTTGCCTTGATGACCTAATGGGTGGGCCCTTTGCTGCTCACTGTCCACCTCCTAGTCTAGGTGACCTAATGGGGGTGTTCCCCTTGTTTTATGGCTCACAACACTATCACTATCCTTAAAGATGACTTCACTCACTACCCTGCCCCCTAACCTGTACTCAATAAATACAGACACTTCTGGATATTCGGGGACACACATGTCTCCGCTTATAGGTGGTGTGCTCCCCCTGAGCCCAGCTGCATTTTCCTTGTACTTCTGTGTCCTGTCTCTTTATTTCTCGTATCCTGCACCTCAGCACAGCATAAGGGATACCCACGACCCTGTGGGGCCCTTAGCCCTACACTGTCTGTGCTTTGTCCAGAAAGAAATTCCTTGTGAGGGAGGTAAGTAACTTTTTCAACTTAACAGCTATATTTTTTAGGAATAGAATGGAAGGCAGGTTTGCCCTAAGCAGTTCTCAGCTTGACTTTTCCCTTTGGCTTAGTGATTTTTGGGGTGCAGGGATTTATTTTCCTATTTTCCCCCTTTTCTTTTTAAAATCTTTCAGATAAAGCATTTTACAAAAAAGTGAGTCTGTGGTCTCAGGTTTCATCTGATCTCTCACGGCTAGCGTGGTTTATTCCCAGATGGGTAGAACCCATGTTATTAGGAGAGCTCATTTTTAGCAGGATGTGAAGTCTCACATCCTGTGAAGCGAATATAGGGGGAAGAAAGGAGAAAAACAGCAGCAAACAAAAAGGGATAATTCTGGAAAATCAATATAAGCCATATTACTATGAAGTCCATACATCAGTAGGCAGGTATGAGAGTGGTTTAATGTGTGTATGTAGGTTGCTGTTATTTTCTTCTGAAGTTTAAGTTGTCTAGCTTCAGTTTGCAGGGCTTTAAGAAAGCACAGTTTACTTTTCAGTGATTTCAAATTAGGAAAAATGGGGAGGGGAAAGAAAAAGAAAGAAGAAAATAATTGAAAACATTATTTTGGAGACTTTTAGCCAGGAAACATTTTAGAATTTAGTCCAAACTATGGAAAATAGTAAAAATGAAATAACATTAGGCAAGACTAAAATCTAATGTGTACTATAGTTGTTGAAACACAAGTCGTCTCTCTCCAGTTCCCCATTTTTACTATAAAGAAATCATGGTAGGACCTATTTGCTTTACTATACTTGGTCTAATTTTTTGTATAAAGTGCCACAAGAACAATTATTTTTCACACGGGCTTTTTTTTTTTGAGACGGAGTTTCACTCTTGTTACCCAGGCTGGAGTGCAATGGCGCGATCGCGGCTCACCGCAACCTCCGCAGCCTCCTGTGTTCAGGCAATTCTCCTGCCTCAGTCTCCTGAGTAGCTGGGATTACAGGCACGCGCCACCATGCCCAGATGATTTTTTGTATTTTTAGTAGAGACGGGGTTTCACCATGTTGACCAGGATGGTCTCAATCTCTTGACCTCGTGATCCACCCGCCTCGGCCTCCCAAAGTGCTGGGATTACAGGCTTGAGCTACCGCTCCCGGCCTTCACACAGGCTTTTTAAATGACTTTGATGGAGCTTTGTTTCATAGAAAAATTCTCAGATAAGACTTGAAAGCTGAGCCCAGCCATGGCTTTGTACCATCAAATGTGTTGGGCAAATTCCCCTCCTCTTGAGGTCCCAAGCTTACTTGGGGCTCCTGGGCCTGTCAGAAAGTTACATTCCTTACTTACCACAGGTCAGGAAGCCTGTATAGGGACTGTGTAGACAAGGTTTGAGGCCATTTTTCCCAAAGGGCTTTTATTGGCTCTGTAAGTCAAGTTTGAATCCTTAAAGAAAAGCACACCATTTTAGTCAAAGCCTTAGTAAAATAACCAGTTTCTCCAGTGGTGTTCTGTTGCAAAAGAAAACATTCTTATGGCACTTATGCAAATAATGTTTATTTTCTTTCATCCCACCTACTGCCCACCCCGTTTTTCTGTTTCGTGTCACTTTCATTTGGTGAATAATATTCTGACAAGATTGACTATTATAGTTATCCTGATTTGATAAGATTTTCTTAATGAAATTGACAAAAATATCAGTCTTTCTATGAAGAAAAATTATCGTTGTTTTGGATGACACACAGGGAAGGGAAATAGGAAAGGCTCTATGTCATTTTTCCTATGTGCTCCACAATTTGCCCTGAAATTTGAATCTTAGAGCCACCCACACAAAACTGCCATTATCAGCCTGCTCTAATTCTACCCAAATACTAGCCATTGTCATACTATAAAGTTCCTACGACCTCCTCCAAAGGAGTACAATATTGTATTTGACCACTTTCTGACTTCCCTGGAATCCACCCTGCGTCCAACCACACTGGAATCATAATCTGAATTCTGCAGCTACTTTGATGTCAGTCTCTGTAGGGAAGCAGCCTGCAGCCTCCTATGGACTCCCATCAAGACCGGTTACCTCTTCCCTCAGTCTGATTGAAAGGTGAAGAAAGGGAGGATTCAAGCACTTACCAGTTCACCGGCATTGCATTACCCAGGAGAAAGAAAATAAATCAGTGATGCGTTTCAAAGATCACGGTGCGGAGAACCACGATTTGAGCTTTTCCCTGGGCTTAGAGAGGAGGTGGATGTCTCGCTGTCAATTCCACATCCAACGCTGGAGTCTTGGAGTCCATTTTTCTCCCTGGCTGTTTTTGGACGACTATCCCCAAATATCAAGGATATCTGAGAGAGTGAACCGTCAGAATAAGGAGCGATTCCCACAGAGCTCCATCCCGCAGGGAAGGGAAGGGGCAGCCGGGGCAGGCCTGGGGCCTGGGTTGAGCGGCACTGTGCCTTTCATTCTTCACGGTGATCTTGGACCTAGAGTCTCCAAGTTTAGAAGAGATGCGGTTGTTGACCGCTTGCCTGGAATGGCTCTGAACGGGTACAAAGGCCTAGGACAGAGGGGTGGTGTGGCAGGACCCAGGCACGGCCACTGGAAGGGCAGCTTCCAGCACTGTAAAGCTGTTCGCGACCTGCATTTGTTTTGCTTCCGTTCTGGACAAGCCAAATCCGTCCCATTCTCCGTCCTTATTCCAGCACCTTTCCCTCTGCGAATCGCACTGAGTCTGTCGCTGGGGCCCTCGGTAACTAGGGATCGTGGCTCAGCCAAGAAAAATACAGGTTTTCTGAAGCCTGAAGGCACTGACTTGAGGAGGCAGCGTGGGAGGAATGCCAGCAGCAGTTTTTGATTTTATTTTCTAGTCACTAGACCACCAGCGACAGTGGCACCCAACGGCCAGTGGCTCTGTGGCAGCGACGTCCTTTCCCCGCACGGAGGGTCTGCGGCTGACCGCTGCACGTGTTCGTCAGGGCGGGGGTGGATCGCCCGCTGCAGCCTGGACGGCGACCAAAAACGCCTCAGTCTTCCGCGGGCCGCTGGCGTTCGCCTCGTGCCCGCGCCTGCCGGGTCCTAGCGCCGCCATGTTCCCACCCTCGCGGCGCCCGCGCCCCGCGGCTCCTCCCACTCCTCCCCCTGGCCCGGCGGCTCCTCCCACTCCTCCCCCTGGCCCGGCGGCTCCTCCCACTCCTCCCCCTGGCCCGGCGGCTCCTCCCACTCCTCCCCCGACCGGTTTCTCGCACGCACTTCTTTGGCAGCACTGGCCTGACTATTTTCCTGTTGCAGCGGCGCTAGCCGACCCAGACAAAACGTTTTCCTGCTTGCTCCGGGAGTACATTCTCCATCCGAGGCCCTCTAGTTCGGCTTTCTCGCCAGCCGAGCGGAGCGGGCGGTTTTGCTGTCGCAGCACCTGTTGCTCGGAGCTTCTCGGTGGCCGAACCTTTCTTTTATCTCAGAGTCCACCGTTTCTTGGTGACAGCGCCGTTGGTTGCGCACAAGGAATGTTGACCTTGACAACCCCGCCGACCCCGTCGCTCGCAAGCTCCAGGCACCGACGCTGCGCAGAACTGGGGTCTCTTGGTCGCGGCACAGCTCGTTGCTTGGTACCTCCGTTTTCTCGGGGTGACAGCGCTCAGGTCTGCGGTCTGAGGGATTGGGAGCTTCCCCAGGGGCGCAGAGCCAGGGGTCCGGGGCGGCGGCGGCGCTGGGGGTGGGAGGCTGCCGCTCCCGGAGCCGGTGACCGGGAGCTGCCGCGGCGCGGTCTCTTCCCAGCGACGCCGCTGAACGGCTCGGCCTCCAGAACCCCGTCCTGTAGCGGCGCCGCTGGCGTCTCTGTCTCAGGACCCCGCGGATTCGCTGGCGTTGGCTTGTCGATCCTAACAAGTTTCAATTTCAGGGTGCCTGTGATTTATTTTCGTTTTGTTTGTTTTGATTCTCCTTCCTCAGCCTCCTGGACTCCCGAGTAGCTGGGATCACACGCGCGCGCCTCCACGCCCGGCTAATTTTTGCATTTTTACTAGAGGTGGTGTTTCATCATACTGACCAGGCTGGTCTCGAACTCCTGACTTAAACAATCCGCCTGCCTTGGCCTCGGAAAGCGCTGGGATTACAGCAGGAGCTACTGCGCCCACCAGGTGACTGAGATTTCTACCCCTTTTCCAAGTCGGGGAGTACCCAAATGTGATTTCTCAGCCCAAGCAAGTCCCCACTTGGAACAAACACCGATCTGACCCTGGCTATAATTTCTAGATCGTAAGAAGTCGCTGTCTGGCCACAAAAAGGCTGAGTTACCCCGTGACTCATTTCCCAGCAACTCTGGGTTTCCTGTAGCCTCTGATGATTTTTTTTTTTTTTTTTTTTTTTGAGACGGAGTTTCACTCTTGTTACCCAGGCTGGAGTGCAATGGCGAGATCTCTGCTCACTGCAACCTCTGCCTCCTGGGTTCAGGCAATTCTCCTGCCTCAGCCTCCTGAGTAGCTGGGATTACAGGCATGCGCCACCATGCCCAGCTAATTTTTTGTATTTTTAGTAGAGACAGGGTTTCACCATGTTGACCAGGATGGTCTCAATCTCTTGACCTCATGATCCACCCGCCTCGGCCTCCCAAAGTGCTGGGATTATAGGCTTGAGCCACTGCGCCTGGCCCAAAGCCGTTCTTAAAATAAGCTGTAACGGCTTCCTCATTCTCTTTGCAATTAACTGCTGACCTTGGCTTCTATGAAAAGTGCTTGCTTTTGCTTATCAATAAGTGCTGAAAAGTTGCTTGCCCTGCATCCCCTCACCCTAAAACCAGGATGTGGGTTTTCAGCTTAAAAACCCCTCTCCCCTTAACCTTGGGGCCATGGGTTGGAGAGACGCGAGTCCTCCGTGGTCGCTGGCTTAATAAATGACCCTGCAATCTGACATACTTTTGTCTTGGTGTTGACTTTCTATGCTTGGTCCAGTACATTTGGAGGTTCCACCGAGATCTTTTATTTTCATCACCAGACAAAAGCCATCTCAGAGTCTTGCCTGGGCAGCCACTCCCACCTCGGAAGCTTCTAGGGGAAGTGCCCCCTGACTGTCCCAGGGCCCCTGTGCCACCGCAGAGGATAAGCGACCACCCGGCCAACATTCACCCCAAATTCCTCAGGGTCCTAAAGATCTCCGGAGGTAAGTTTGGTCTGGAAACTGGGAACTAGTTCAAAGGAAAGGGCCTGAGTCGGGGGACTGACAAGTCATTGCAACTCTGACCTGGCAAGCCTCACAGAGACTTGAGGCTTCTGGTGGCTGTCATAGTGGGTGACAGCCTTCTGGTGGCTGGTTGCAGTGGGCGACAGCCTTCTGGTGTGGCGTAGTGGATGCCAGCCTTCTGGTAGCTGGCAGGGGGTGTCAGCATTTGATTGTTTTCCGTAACCTCTGTGTGAGTGAGAGAGTGAGTGTGTATATATGTAGTCCCACGGCTGAAAGGCTACGGGGCTTGTGTGGGCCTCCACCCGCGGTTCCACGGGAGCGTCATAGGGCATAACGGTGATTCACCTCAGAGCTGTCCTACTTGGACTTCCATCCTGAGATGACCAGGCCCGGGGTTTATACGAGCACACCTTAGCCAAGACGCACCCTGAAATTTCCTTTGGGAAAGTGGCCGGAGAGGCAACTGAGTGGTCTCCCATCTGGGGGGCACCCACCCTTTGTCTGTCACTCTTTTATGGGGTCCTGTCTTGTCTGTAAAATTGTCAGTTTTCTTAGACTCCTGCTAGCAGACGTGCACTGGTTCAGGCCATCTTCCCTTGAGGTAGGGGATATTTTACAGTGGTTGATGAACCACTGGATGCAGGGAACTTTTATTGATTATACCCCTGCAGAGATTACTTTCTTCTCCTTCTTTCTCATTTTTTCTTCTATCACTGAGGCTTCACTCTTTCTTCCTTTGCCATGTGGCAGATAGTCTTAACTTTAGTTGTCTTTATTTTCTTCCTTGTTATAATTATTGTGGCTTGTAAATTCTCCCAGCCACCTCCACCAGGAAAGGAGTACTTTTTGCCTGTGCTGGGTCTGATTTCATGTCGGGAAGGCAGTTGTGCCCTTAACAACTTGGAAGTAGTTTCTTTGGGATCGTAGGAGACAAAGTCCTAGATCAGGGTCTACGAGTACTCTTTTTTCAGGCTGGGATGGAAAATTGGTAACTGCCTATTCTGCCAGAAAAGTGTCCAGTGTTGTTATGGGCAGTGCCCAGTGGTGCATCACAGAGAGAAAAAAAAGAAAAAAAGAGAGAGACAGAGAGGAGAGAAGAGAGAGGAGAGACAGAGAACAGAGAGCAAAAAAGAAAGTGGACAGAAGAGAGAAGAGAGGACTAAGAAAGTAAAAGAGGAGAGAGGAGACAGAGAAAAAGAGAGGAGAAAAAAAGTGGACAAAAAAGTAGGAAAAAAGAGACAAAGACAGAAAAACAAAAAGAAAAAGAGATACGAAGAGAGGGATTTAATACTTTTTTAGGTTCCCTGTGTCAAGGTGACCAAAAGCTGCAGGGGCGGAAAACTCACAGCCCGCCCAGCGGCTGCAAGCTCAGTTTTTAAACTGACACAAAAAGCTTTTTTTTTTCCCTTCCTCTGCCAGCCGGCAGCCCCACCCGGCTTTGAGGCAGGCCACACTGCCTCAGGGTGCAGATTTGGATTCAGAATCTGGCTTTAAGAAAAGCTTTCTAGCCGGCACGGTGGCTCAAGCCTGTAATCCCAGCACTTTGGGAGGCTGAGTCGGGTGGATCACAAGGTCGAGAGATCGAGACCAACCTGGTCAACATGGTGAAACCCCGTCTCTACTAAAAATACAAAAAATTAGCTGGGCATGGTGGCACGTGCCTGTAATCCCAGCTACTCAGGAGGCTGAGGCAGGAGAATTGCCTGAACCCAGGAGGCGGAGGTTGCGGTGAGCCGAGATCGCGCCATTGCACTCCAGCCTGGGTAACAAGAGTGAAACTCCGTCTCAAAAAAAAAAAAAAAAAAAAAAAAAAAAAAGCTTTCTAACCCTTTGTAACACAAGTGGCTTGTTAACACAGTCGTTAAGGTTTGGGGCCTGCAACTGCAAGGTTCAAAGCCTCAGTGAAGGTAGTCTTTGGGTAGTCTTTGGGGGGAAAATTCAAAAATTTAAAAAAAAAAAAAAAAAACCAATGGGGTTGTCTAGCTCCCGGCCTTGTAGCCCCTTCCAATGCATGACGGCCAACCCCAAGATTGGGTTTTCAGGCCAATATGAAATAAAATTAACCCATGGAGAACTCTGCTCTTTATCTAATCTAAAATGGCCGTCTTTCAAAACTGGGTGGCCCGACACTGGGACCTACACTCAAAAAAATTAATAATTACCCAGGCTATATGAAAAATGGTCGCAGAAACTCCTGGACACCCTGACCATTTTCCGTACATTGAACAATGGTTGGGTTTAGTCCAACAACCCCACCCCCCCCCCCACCACCACCACCCAGCAGTGGCTGAAACGCTGCATAAAACAGGCTAGACTTCAGGTCATGTTAGCCAGACCAAAGAAAGCCCCTTCTGGGCCAGCCATTCTCCTCACCCCATCGGAGGATCAGGAATTACCTGCACCCTACTCAAGGCCCTCTGAACCAGGACCTCAACACCCCCCTCAACAGTACTAGTAACCAAACCTTGTCCACCCTGCACACCTGCAGCAGAGCCTCACACCCACCGGCGGTCCTTCCTCTCCATGAGGCAACCCCAATAGAAGACAATTGGGGTCGCCCATTCTTTGTTCACATCCCCTTCTTTTCAAGTGACTTATATAACTGGAAGGTAATAGAAATCAAAGAGAGGGCCAAAATGCCAAGTGCTGGCATGAGCCTTATTAAAAGCAAGGGAAAAAAAGCTACTGGGCTAAACCCAAAATTGGCAGCACCCGTGGCATGGCAAAGGGGATTCCTATGGCCTGCAAGCTGGCAGATGCATCCAGTGTGAGGGGCTGTGCAGGAGGGAAGGGGCTGGGGAACTGCTGAGAGTTCCCAAGAGAGGTTTGTACTGAGGAACTGCTGAGATGGCTAGGGGGGAGGGTTAGAAACCTGCTGAAATGGAAAGTTCCCTGGGCTGGGAGGCTGGAGAACTTAAGGTATTGGCGGTGACAGGGTTTTACAATGGAGCGCAACATCCCCCGTTCTCTGAGAAGCCCCAGGTTTTGGCAGGGCTCTTAAAATCCGTACTCCAGAGTCATGGCCCCACTTGAAACAACTGCCTACAATTATTACTAATTCTGTTCACCACAGAAAAAAGAGGAAGAATTAGATAGGAAGCCCTGAAAGCCAACATAGGTCCAGGGAAAGGAACAGTTAAAAAAAAAAAAAAAATTGCAAAAATTAGAGGGGTTCCAGGAAATAAATTTAACTCAGTTATTAAAGATTGCCCAAAAGATTTTTAACAATAGAGACACCCTAGAGGCCAAGCAAGATAAGAGAGTTACTAAGGCCATGATAACAACATTCCAGGAAACCCGAGTTATCTCACAGGAACCAGGAATCCAGCAGAGGGGCCTAGGGAAACAAAGACCCAACTCTGCCAGCCAAAAGTTACTTACCAGGACTATATTAAAGAGAAAGGCAACCGGGCACTGGCACCCCACCAAGTCCAAGCAGTGCTGCAAATACCCACCCCCACCACGAAATGCCAAGTTCAAGAATTCCTTGGGGCAGTAGGGTACTGCAGGCTATGAATTTTGGGATTTGCCAAGCCCCTGTATGCCTGCACTGAAGGAAATCAGCCCTTGACATGGACAGAGGTAGAGCAACAGGCTTTTAACAAGCTCAAGAATGCCCTGACTGCAGCTCCAGCCTTGGCCTTGCCAGACATCTCTAAACCTTTCCGGTTGTTTGTGCATAAAAAACAGAAAGTCACTAAGCGGGTGCTCACCAAAACTCTGGGACCCTGGTCCCGGCCAGTCACCTACCTCTCTAAAAGACTTGATCCTGTAGCCTCTGGATGGCCGGCTTGCCTAAAGGTGGTAGCGGCCAAAGCCCTATTTGTCAAGGAGGCAGACAAGCTAACTTTGGGGCAGAAGTTAAACTTAGTGGCTCCCCACGTGGTGGAGTCATTAATCTGTGGAGCTCTGGGAAAATGGATGTCTAATGCCCACATAGTCCAATACCAGGCCTTACTTTTGGATGAGCCCTGCATAAAATTTTCAAAAACCACAGTTTTAAAACCCGCCACATTGCTACCTGACAGCGAGCCGGAAGAGCCCACACCTGACTGCCAACAGACAATAGATGTCCTCCACGCTGCGCGACCGGATATCACTGACATCCCCCTGCGGAACCCAGAGGAGGTACTGTATACAGATGGCAACAGTTTCATGGTCAACGGAGTCAGGTATGCCAGGGCAGCTGTGGTCACCCTAGAGCAGTTATCTGGGCCCAGGCTCTTCCACACAGAACCTCAGCCCAAAAAGCAAAACTCATAGCTCTGATAAAGGCCTTGGACTGGGCGGAGGGAAAGACTGTCAACATCTACACTGATAGCCAATATGCCTCTGCCACGGCCCATGTACATGGAGCCATATATAAAAAAAGAGGGCTGCTTACCTCAGAGAAAAAAGTCATCAAAAACAAAGAGAAAATCCTAGCCCCACTAGAGACTGTATGGAAGCCCAAGGCCATGACATTAATACACTGCAAAGAACACCAGAAGAGAAATTCACCAGAGGCAAGGGGAAATAGGACAGCTGACCTGCAAGCCAGACAGGTGGCCTTGGGGCTAGTAAAACCTCTGACTCTTCTTGTAACTCTGCTGGCCCCAACTCTCTAAAAAACAAGGGAGATGGCAAGATTCCACAGGATGATGGACTCTACCGGACACAAAAATTGTGCTCCCTGAGGCTCTAGAATGAACTCTAGTTAAGGACACACACACCAGGCCACTCACTTAAGACAATCAAAACTAAGCTGCTGAGGGCCAGATACTACATCCCACACTTACATGAGATTGTTAGAAAAACTACGACTCAATGTAATGTACGTGCCAGGGTAAATCCCAAAAAAAAAAAAAAAAAAAAACCAGTAGGCCTAGTCAGGCAGGAATAAGACTTAGGTGTATTAGCCCAGGAAAACACTGGGAGGTAGATTTTACTAAAATAAAGCCCCCAGCATGCGGCTATAAATACCTCCTTGTATTTGTAGACACTTTATGGATGGGTCGAGGCTTTTCCCACTAGGTCAGAAACTGCACTGGTAGTAACAAAAAGATTGTTGCAGGACCTGGTTCCTCAGTTTGGCCTGCCCCTAACACTGGGATCAGATAATGGCCCTGCATTTACAGCACAGGTTTCACAGGGCCTGGCCAAAGCCCTGGGCATATCCTGGAAACTACACTGTGTCTATCACCCCCAGAGTTCGGGACAGGTTGAAAGGATAAACCTGACCATAAAAAACTTTAACAAAATTCATTCTAAAAACTGGTGAAAATTGGGTCAACCTGCTTCCTTTTGTTCTCCTCTGCACCCGATGTACTCCCTGTAAAAAAGGCTTTATTTCTTTTAAAATTATGTTTGAAAGGCCCCCTCCCTTACTCCCCAAACTTGCAGACACCATACCTGCTAAAGTCCATAACCACACACTCTTAATTCCTTACAGGCACTCCAGCCTGTTCAGTCCCAGGTGCACCCGCTCATCAGGGAAATTCAACTTACCCCAGTGGACCTCACTGATCAGCTGGTACACCCCTTCCAGCCCAGGGATGAAGTCCTGGTAAAAAAATTCACTAACTCCTGGCTGGAAGGGACCCTACATCCTGATCCTGGTCACCCCCATGGCAATCAAGGTGAACAGACTAACTGCCTGGATTCACCACTCATATGTCAAGACTGGCCCCCCTCCCCCAACGCGAAATGAAAGGTAGTCTCATTTTCAACAGACCCCCTGAAGCTAAGACTTTTGCACTCTTTGCGGTAACCATCCTAATCCTCCGGCATGTGGTTTTTTTTAAAAAAAAAAAAATTACTTTCGGGCCGGGCGCAGTGGCTCAAGCCTGTAATCCCAGCACTTTGGGAGGCCGAGGCGGGTGGATCACGAGGTCAAGAGATCGAGACCATCCTGGCCAACATGGTGAAACCCCATCTCTACTAAAAATACAAAAAATTAGCTGGCATGGTGGCTCGTGCCTGTAATCCCAGCTACTCAGGAGGCTGAGGCAGGAGAATTGCCTGAACGCGGGAGGCGGAGGTTGCGGTGAGCCGAGATTTCGCCATTGCACTCCAGCCTGGGTAACAAGAGCGAAACTCTGTCTCAAAAAAAAAAAAAAAAAAATTTACTTTCTAGATTTGGTTTTCCCAGTAAAACAGAGTGAATGCAAAAATCCTAGATTTTTTTGTTATCCCCACCCCAGTCTTTTACAGTTGTTTCACCCACATCCAATTAGACAGCAATATTTTTAGTGGGTCTCCTTTATTGTCTTGCCTTACCAAGACATTCTTCCTTTTTATGTTTATATAATATTTGATTAAATTATTTCATCCAAGTGACAAGTACAAGTACAACTGGCATAAACAGGTTTGGAAAAAACCTAGTTAACTCTTGCTAAATTTATATAACTCTACCATGGAGACCAAAATGTATGTTAAACTATAAAATATAGTCTATTAGCTGTGAGTATTTAATGTGCCCTGGACTTCAGTGTTCTCCAAAGAGATAAAAATACTGGTTAATCCATAGAATTGGTTAAAAAAAAAAATTGTAGAAACTTCTGTATCTCTATTATACCTACTATTTCAGTAGTCCTCAAACTCTTTGACACCAGAGACCAGTTTTATGGAAGACAATTTTCCCCATACCAGTCAGTGGCTCAGGGGTTGAAGACCCCTGTCCTATCTCATACTTGCTATATTTGTTTGTTCAATAGATTCCAAGTCACAAAGGTGTTTTTATTTCTCTAAAGTCAGTAAAGTAACAGGCACATAGTAGCTGCTTAATAAGTGGTTCTTAAATAAATAAATCATACATTAGGTTACACTGTTACTCAAGATGTATTAACAAATGTCTATATATGTGTATCTTGTCTATCAACTAAATTGTGTCCTTAAGGACAGGACCTGTGTTTCAGACATCTTTAATATTTACCATGTTTGTCAAATTTAATAAATGTATAGAATATGTTGGTTTTAAAAAAGCAGTGTATCTGTCCCTTTTGCTCCTTGCTAGTTCTGCCTTGTAACTTCCACTGAAAAGAGCTTTTTAGTGCAAATAGTGTCTACATTTTATTGTATAAAGTATTGCCTGGGCCATACCAAATACTTTTGACTGAGGTCATTTTAGGGACCACAGGCTTCATAATTGCCACTTGATGCTAACTATAGCAAATTACACTTGGGTGTTAGTAGTTTTCAGTATAGTGTTGTCTCTTTTCATCCCATCTTGTGTGTTAATCACTGACTGCCAGGAAATGTCTTTGGCATAACGTCCCTACTTACTAGATTAGCAAGACCCTTGGCTCTAATGGTCCTAGGGTTAATATTTGGACCATGCCTTTTAAATATACTCCTCAAATTTATCCAAAAAAAAAAATAGACTCAATCAAGTTAATAGTTCTAAAATCCAGCTATGGGCCCTTAAGCCAAAAAGAGAAAACCTATTAAAGATTTAATGTGTAAAAAAAAAGGGGGTGGGGGGAATGTAACATGGCTAGCCTAAAAGTTAGAACCTGAGAAATGCCATTTTATAAAAGACAAAGCTGTTCTTAAGATAAGCTGTAACGGCTTCCCCATTCTCTTTGCAATTACTGCTGACCTTGTCTATGAAAAGTGCTTGCTTTTGCTTATCAATAAGTGCTGAAAAGTTGCTTGCCCTGCATCCCCTCACCCTAAAACCAGGGTGTGGTTTTTCAGCTTAAAAACCCCGCTCCCCCTGAACTCAGGGCCATGGGTTGGAGAGACGTGAGTTCTCCGTGGTCCCCGGCATAATAAATGACCTGCAGTTTGACATACTTTTGTTTTGGTGTTGACTTTCTATGCTCGGTCCAGTACAACAATACCAAGTCTGGTTTCACAATATCAAGTCCCATCTTCGCTATGTTGGTGTTTTTTATTTATTTATTTATTTATTTATTTATTTATTTATTTTTTGAGATGGAGTTTCACTTTTGTTACCCAGGCTGGAGTGCAATGGCGAGATCTCGGCTCACTGCAACCTCCGCCTCCTGGGTTCAGGCAATTCTCCTGCCTCAGCCTCCTGAGTAGCTGGGATTACAGGCACACGCCACCATGCCCAGCTAATTTTTTGTATTTTTAGTAGAGACGGGGTTTCACCATGTTGACCAAGATGGTCTCGATCTCGTGACCTCGTGATTCACCCGCCTCGGCCTCCCAAAGTGCTGGGATTACAGGCTTGAGCCACCGCACCCGGCCTGGTGTTTTTTCAAACTTCCATGGAAGTCGGGAAATGGCAGCAGAAACGATTTCTGGTTTACGAAGCTCCGTTTGGCGATAGTAAGTCCCGCAGAGCGCGACTTTTTCCTCTTGTGGACCCAGCTACTACGATATTTCAGTTGTAAACTGATTTAACTGTGATTGGATTAACTGGGGTTTTGTTGGGTTTTTGTTGTTGTTGTTTTGTTTTGTTTTTGTCGTAGGAAATGTAGACTTATGTGTCACATGTTCGGGTTTAGTTATGACAGAGATATCCTAACATAGAATTGCATCGTTTAGCAATATTTGTAATTTCTTCTTTGCAGGGTTGGTTCTGTGTAATTTTTGCTTATTTTTAAATTCTCTTTTTGTGTCTTTTGCTCTGAGAACGATGTTACCAGTAGTTACCAGTGTGTTTGCTTTGCCTTTTTACTTGCATTTTAGAATTTGTTTTTAAATTTTATTTTTATTTAAATATTATGTATTTTTTCCTACTAATTTTGAGTATCACAGCTTTGTGCTCCTTGGCTTGAATTCTCTCAGGAGCCGAGGAGCCGAGCTGGGTCTCAGCCTTGCTGCTGTCAGATCTGAGATTCTGTCTGGCGGCTCCTCTTCTGTGTGGAGCTGGCTGTTTTGCAGCAGCGCTTTTGCCCAGTAGAGCCCACTCGGCTTGAGCCGGATAAAACGTTTTCTTGATTGCTCCGGGTGTCCCGTTCTCCATCCGAGGCCCTCTAGTCCAGGTGTTAACTGTGGCAGCCCCCAGCGTTTCCGTTGGCTTTCTCGCTAGCGGAGGGGAGAGGACGGTTTTGATGTCACCGCACACGTTGCACGAGTTTCTCGGTGGCCGAACCCCTCTTTTTATTCAGAGTCCACGGTTTCTTGGTGACAGCGTCTTTAGTTGCGCCATAAGGAATGTTGTCCTTGACAACCCCGCCGGCCTCCGTCACTCGCAAGCTCCAGGCACCGACATTTCGCAGAACTGAGGCCTGTTGGTCGCGCCGCACATCTCTTAGCTCCGCGGCTCCATTTTCTCGGGGCGACAGCGCTTTGGTCGCCGATTTGAGGGATTGGAAGCTTCCCCAGTGCGACGGAGTCGGTGACAGGAGAACTGCGCAGGCGCGGCCTCTCCCCTGCACCGCAGACCGCGCAGAACCCCTCGGCCTCCAGAACCCCGGCCTGTGGCTGCGCCGCTCGCGTCTCTGTCGCAGTACCCGACGGTTTCGAGCGTCGTTGGCTTGTTGGTCCTTACAGGTTTCGATTTTGCTGTGCCCGAGATCGCAGCTCACTGCAACCTCCCCTCCGGGGTTCAAGCGATTCTCCTGCCTCAACCTCCAGAGGACCTGGGATTATTACGGGTGCGCGCTACCACTCCCGGCTAATTTTTGTATTTTTTTGTTTTATTTTATTTTATTTATTTTTGTATTTTTAGTAGAGGCGGGATTTTGTCATATTGACCAGGCTGGTCTCCAACTCCTGACCTCCAGTAATCCGTCTGCCTCTGCCTCCCAAAATGCTGGGATTACAGCATAAACCACCGCTCCCAGCAGGTGAGTGCAATTTCTACCCCCGATCCAAGTCAGGGAGTAGCCAAAATGTGATTTCTCAGCCCAAGCAAGTCCCCACTCAGCACGAAAACC